TAAATGTTCATTACATGGATATAATGAGCAAATGAACAACAAAAATTATAAAATAAAAAGTTCTATTTTAGAAGTAAAAGTGAAAAATGCATATTTTCATTTATGAAGCTAAGAACATGCATAAAATAAGTAGGCTGATGGTAACTTTCTAAAGGCATAATTTTTTACAGCTTTTTAAAATGACTGTAAAATAACTACTTAATCTAACAGTGTGGTGTTAGGCAAACTGCATAAGCTTCCTGTTGCTTCCTTTTCATCCACCCCTGTTCCATTTGGAAACTCCTACATATCACCCAAGCTGCAGCTCACAACCCACTTCCTCTAGAAGCTTCTCCAAACCGTGGACCCACTTCTGTGCTTCACTAGGACTCTGTGCTTCCCCCAGTATACTTTATCATAACTGCAAGTCTCCTCTGTTAAAGTGTGCAGTAGTCCTGGGTAAGGTTTGCTTTTGCCTTTTCACCACTTTGTCTGCAGCACTTAGTTCACAACTTTTAATTGCAGGCCATCAGAAGTTCTTCAGCCAACAAACATCTGAAATGAGAGAACTAGAGTATATGGTCTCTTGTGTTTCCTCTCTTTGGAAATATAAATAAAGCAAACCCTAAGGCAAGTTAATATAACATATTGAGTGCGTATATTGCACTATACTGAGCTTTTCTCAATTCTCTTCCATTCATAGTTAAATTTATTGTTATTAAGTCTTTTCCTTTAAGGTTTGGACTCAGTCAAAAAGGTGTATAGCAGTACAATACAATATTCCCCACTCTGTTCTTTGAAGACTTTACTACAAATATTGCTCCTTAAAAAAATGCCTACAGTGGTGAAAAACTGATCAATTAAGAAAGTTTCTCAACTTGGTATTTTATTCTTTCTCTCTTACCTTTATTTTTGGTAAAGAAGAAAAGGGATTATATAAGCTGAAGAGTGGGGTGGTTATTAAATATTTTTAGTATCATTATTAATTTTCAAATTTTCTTCTATTCAATCTCTGAGTCTCATGAGTAGTTTCTGGAAGAGATGATTTATACATTGGAAATATAGCATGATGGTAACAACCACAACAAAATGTCAAAATAAAAAGAAAGATGAAAAATGAAGGGTTAATAAAATTAATAAATTACTAAAAGGATTCATGTTAATTCCATTAGTGGAGCACCAAATAAGTACCATTTTGATAAGTAGTAAAACAAATCAAACATAATGATTTCAGTCTTTTAAAACACAGATAACTGCAGGGTGTGGTGATGCCTACCTCTAATCCCTGCTCTCCGGAGGCTGAGGCAGGAGAATCACTGTGAGTTCGGGCAGCCTGGGCTACACAGTGATTTCAAGACCAGCTTGAACTCCACATAATGAGACCTTGTCTCACAAACAAAACAAACAAACAGCCCCCCCCAAAAAAACCCAAAAAGAGATAATTATTATCACTGGGTACTTAACTTGTCTTGTGCTCATATTAAAATAGATTTTCATAAGTTTTCTAATACCTAAATTAAATAAGCAAAAAAGACCATATTTGACAAATTCCTGAATCTCTGAATTGCTAGGGCCTTAGACATCCCATTTCTCACCTAACCAGAAACTTCTAGTTCTGATGTAGGGCAGAACAAGGGCAATTAGCCCATGCCTACACCTTTTCTCAGTATGAGGGAAAGTGAATCAAAGCTTAATCGAAGTTGATATTGACAGAATGTTTGATTTACCCCATGAGGCTTTCAAAAACTTTTCTGAGGGACTGCTCATAAGAAGGATTGATGAGTGATTTTAACCCCCTAACACTCTCTCATAGAACTAATTGTAATGAATGCCATCAAGAGAGTTGGTTTCTCAGGGTTGCTTTAAAGATTCAGAAAGATCTGGGTAATTTCTGTAAACAAAACCAACCACATATACTAAACATTTTCTCATTTAAAAAAATCATAAATATAACATCATCTGCTTCACTTATGTACAAAGGCTTGTTGAAGGAGCATCCAAACCCCCTAATAATGTCCTGATTTCTAAATGCTTTTATCTCTAGACAATATTCATACCACTATAAATGTGCATCATAACTCAATTTAATTATCAACATATGGTCTGGTACACAATAAAAATGAAATATAAACTGTAAGAGATGTTTATTATGGGTTATGCCTATAAATAAGTGTTTACATATATTATTAATCTAGTTATTTTTAAAACAACTCTAGAAAGTAGATATTATGATTGTCTTTCTTAAACAACAGTGGACCAAGATGTACCCAGAAACTAAGTTCCTAAGAGGGTAAAGTTAGAAGGGAAGAGAGACAGGTTTCTAGCTAAGAAGCTTGGCTCCAGAGCTGCTACTTGGACCTGAGATACCAGAAGAACTCTGTCTAATTAGTGTAATATTTGTTGAATTATAAAGAGTGCAATAATTTATACTAAAACAGGGAGAATGACAAATAGCAGTAGAATATTTTTCCAAATTTTGTTTTGTAAGAAAAACAAACAAGAGCAGTCCAACTATTGGAAAAAATAACAATTGGTTTTAATAAAATTAATATCCTGAAATGACTCAATTCAAACCCACAAATATATTTGTGTATCTATTATATGTACATTAGCATATCAATTGACATTGTGAGTCCAATAGACTATAAAGGTAAAACCTCCTCCCTCCTAGAGCTTGCAGTCTAATTTTCAGATAAATTATAATGAGCTCTGGAATGTGAAATGAACGAAGACTTTTCAGAGTGTGCATTTTAAGAGTGAGTAGTTACAGTGCCACACATGGAAAAGGTACAGAGCTCATGGCATGTCTGAACACATCCTTCCTTCGGCTGTCTGAACACATATTCAAAGAATCAGACAACCATGTCTGCTAGATTTGCACAATATGAGGACAGGCCATTATCATCTCTGCTGGACAGATGAAGAGTGAAGTTGGTAAAAAATAAAGGATCCCTTTATCAATTCAAACCTAATAGCAAAGATATACATACTTCACAACTGTCAGTCTGGTTCCAAACAAATAGGAAAGATAAACTATAGGATAAATAAGAAGTCTCATAAACTTGACAGTTTTCTAGAAGAGATAAAATCTAAAGTTGATAAGACAGCAGAAGAGATTTCCTATATTGAAATATAAATATTTAATGAATAAATGAACCTCCCGTGGAGAAAAATATTGTTTGGAATAGAAGTGTCAGTTAGAGGCAATTTGCACTTAATGTTCTGATAGTCTTTAAAATCAATTTAGACAATAAAATTCCAGTTTAATGTGATTTTGAATTTTACATAATTTGAGGGAAGAGGGGAGAATTTCTAAAAGACAATGACTTTCAGTTTTTCACTGAAAAGATAATAAAGCTATGGCTGAGCCAGGGATTTAGCTCAGTGGCATAGCGCCTGCCTGGCAGGCCTGAGGTCCTGAGTTCCATCCCTGGTACCAAGAACAAAACAAAACAAAACAAAACAAAAACAAAAAGCAATGGCTAACAACTCAATTGAATTTGAATTGGATATCACTGTGTTTAGAAGGTGGGGTAGTAGTTAAAGGGGGACTCAATAGAGTTGTATACATAAGCACAAACATTCTGTGCACACGGATTTGAAATCTGTAGTCTTTAATTCCTATCCCACTCACTGAGACAATCCAAACAAATAAATCAAAACAGAAAATAAGATAGACTTAGAGAAAATAATGATAATTCTGTATAATTCTTGTTAATTTTAGGAACAATGGAATAATTTGAAAAGTACTCTAAGAATATTATTCAAATTTAATTAATAAGTTTGATATAATTTCTATAAGCTGTTAAAATACTTTTTATGACAGGACATATTTTAACAAATACATTGGTATACATTCTAAATAAAAGTTATACATTCTCTATTATGAAATGTATAAATTAAGACTCTTGCAAAAGTGTTGGAATGTATCAGAAAGAGAAGCTAAGATTAAAAATTTCTTTAAATTTCTAAATATAGGTGTTTTAGTTACTTTTCTCTTTACTGAGACAAAAATACTTGACAACCAAAATTAAGGAAGGAAAGGTTTATTTGACTCACAGTTTGGAGAGGTTTCACTCCAAGGCAGGGCAGCATGGCAGAGGGGCATCACAGAGGAGAAACGGTTCATGGCAAGCAGGCAGGAGAGAGCACGTTAACGCTCTCTCTGCCCCTTATATTTGATGCAGGCTACCCACCCTAGGGGAGGTATACTACTCACACCCTTAATCTTAGCCAGAACTGTGCCAAACTGATCAGTGGGCTGATTTAGTAATCACATACCCTTGATCCCAGCACCACACACTCTAGATCCAGCCACCTCTGAAAAGCCTCACCTATGACTGTATAAGGCTTCGGGGGACATCTAGACACAAGTCATAGCAATAGGTTAGCCTTTCAAATATACATTATTGATATAACTTACACTGTATAAATATTTTCATTTAAAATATCATTGTAATCAGATTGCTGAGAGTAAAATTATCTTAGTACTTCACATGTAGTCTCAAGTTTATGTTATTCCTGGACTTCTTCAGCTTATATTTATATAATGTATTGATCAAATATTTTTTGAGTTACTTGTACAGAATTATAGAATCCACCCTGTGCTATATACTGGGAGGAATAATTCAAAAGGTAATAGAGGAAATAAAACCTGCAAACATAGTATATATAAGGCCATTCACTGAATTTCACCAATGTTAAGCACAATTTTATCCTATAGCATAAGATAGCACTTGTAAAGTTAATAGAATGAGAAACTTGAATCTGGGATAATCTTTTGAATTTTGGCAATTGGTCCAAAATTACAGCACTATGGACAGTAATAAGGGAGCTGAGAGGAGACAAGCGTTGGGGAAATCTGATGAAGAAAACTTTCCTTGTGCATCTCTCAATGTAATCCTCTCTTTGTAATGCAATTAGTTAGTCCTTTAAAAGTCGGCCTCCACCCCACTCCTAATTGAAGTTTTGAAGTATAGGAAATGAGTATTTTTTTTTTTTTTATTTTTTTTTTTTTTTTTTTACCAACACAAGTGTTTATTGAAAGGCTGACATGGGTGCACAGGAAGCTGACAGGGAAGAGCTTGAGGTGGGAGTGGGCTCTCATCTCCTGGCCAGATTCATCTCTGACCAGCTCCTGGTCGATCCTCAGGGAGCTGGAAGAGTGTCAGCGAAATCATGAGGGTGATGAAGATGATGGCCATATCCGAGCCCAGCAGGCCTGCATTGAGGCCAAGCATGTGAGGGTGCCCTGGGCCCACATGAGGGTCTGTGTGTGTGCTTGCGTGCATGTAACTGAGGATGCCCTGGCCCACAGGTGAATCTGTCCCTATGGTACTATGGTAACAGTGGCCTGGTTCATGTTGGTATGTGTGTTCTAAGTGTGAAGAATGTTCAGGTGGCCCACACACAGTACTCAATTCTTTGCAGGATACATCCATGGCAGACATGGATGAGCTCTTCTCTCAGGTAGATGAAAAGAGAAAGGTGAGCATTTTCTCTGTAAGCTGTGAGTAGCAAGTGCTGAAGCAGTGTTCCTTTCCTGGTCCCTGACACTGTCCCTTCGTGCTGTAGAAGCGAGATATCCCCGACTATCTGTGTGGCAAGATCAGCTTCGAGCTGATGAGGGAACTCTGTATCACGCCAAGTGGCATCACCTATGATCAAAAGGGCATTGAGGAGCATCTGCAGGTAAGGGCCTATGAGCCTCAGAACCAGGGCTGGAGGCACAGACTGACACACGGAGCACTCTGACCCTGTTGTCACGGCAGCACGTAGGACACTTTGATCCTGTGACCTGGAGCCCCCTGACCCAGGAACAGCTCATCCCTAATCTGGCTATGATGGAGGTCATCGATGATTTCATCTCTGAGAACGGCTGGGTAGAGGACTACTGAGGCCCACTGCTCCACCCTGCTTGATAATCCTGGCTCAGGAAGGTGCTGAGGCAGAAGCCCCAGTTCCTGTACATAATTTGTGTCGCTGTGCCTGCCCCCATCAGTTCTGCTGGTGGGCTCTGGACTGCTACCCCTCTCAGCATAGCCTTTGCCAGGCTGTGGGCCTCTCGTCTTCGTTCTGGGCTGGAAAAGCAGATGGGGGTGGGGTGGGTGGAAGCTGCCATTGCTGCCACTGTTCCTGTAATAAAATTTGTGACCAGTACATGGGCACATCCTGGTGTGTGTGGGCCTGCCTCTTCTGGCTAGCCAAGGAAGGTGGAGAAGACAGGTGTCAAGGTTGAGTATAGCGTGCCACCAGCAGTCAGGGAAGTACAGCCCCTCACCAGCCTGAATGGTACACTCCGGGGGCCTTTCAGACGGTGCCCAGGCTGGGCGTGTGTCCTGAAGCCAGGTCAGTGTGGTGCTGTTGGGGTGGAACTCGGAGGTCTTCTCAGGTGGGTAGAGGAACCAGTGCTTACGGCCATAGATCATCTCCAACAATCCGGGCCCAGGCCAGTGGAAGGGCACTCCAGAGGCAGCTCCGTCGCCCAGAGAAGCAGGGTCTTGGGGATGTAGCAACTGCTCTACATATTGCTGGAAGGACAGGTCCACTTTCTGGTTAAGAGTAGGTATTGGCGGTGCTGAGCCGAACCACATGGTCCCCAAAGGTAGCCAACAGACTCTCTCGTGAGCCCGGAACCTCGAATTATCCGTGAGTTCCTATAGGATGACGGGCCTGAGGAAGACGTAGTGCAGCACGAACTCAGCATAGGTGAGGGTTGGAGCGGAGCTCCATGGTGCAGCGTTCCTCCACGGCTACGTCTGGCCCGGCCCAGCCTGCCGCCACCCCCACGCCGTCCGCTGCCTCCGAGCAGAGCCTAGCCGACACCAGCAGCCAGAGGGCAGGCGGCACAGGCAGCCGCACCCCCAGAGCCATGGCCTGCCGCCCAGCAAGCCGGGAACTCCGTGCCTGCACGCCAATGGGCAAGAGCTCTGTTGTGAGTATTCGCTTTGAACAAACACTCCAGAATATATTTTGATTCTTGGCATTCATTAGATACAGATACGTAGTAACTATTTGTCACATGCATGAACGTAGATATGAAATTAAAGGATGAGATCTTCTGAGACACAGAAAGTGGAGAACTACATTTCAGAGTCATTATACATGAAGTGAAATCATGCCTACTCTAAGTCTGGCCACCACTTGGTATATAAAAGAGGTTCAATGTATGCATGCATGCATGCATGAAACAATGAATGACAGACAGTGCACTGAATCAATAAATATATTATGAAGAAGAAAAATCGTTAATGTCTACACTTTTAAAAGTACTATAAAGTAACGGAAAGGACAAAAGTAGACAGTGACAAGTTCAGAAATGAAAAGTTAAAAGAAAAATGCAGGAATAATAGTGTGTCATGTTTGGTTTTGCAAAGCACTTTCATATTATTTCGTTTTAATTCTGTCAATCCTGAAAGGGAGAGGAAGTATTACACTTGTTTTTTGCTTGTTTGTTTTTCAATAGATCAATTAGCTCCGAGTCTCAGAAAAGTTAATTGACTGTGAGAAAAGGATTTTAAAGAAAAATATTTAACGTTGTCAAATGCAAAAATCGAATGAATGAAAAGATGTTACTGCATTTGGCATGCAATTCATTGGAGTCTATGCAAAGTGAGATTGGAAAGGAGGCATTGAAAAAGGGTAACAGTGTAAGAGTCATAGGTTATTATATTAAAATAAGTATCACATTTGATTACAAAAAATCATAGTACACAGGCATTACAAGGGAGATGAGCTGAGGCAGAAGGACAATATGAACACCTTCCCAGCCAAAACGACAACTTGCTTCCAGTCAGCTGGTTTACTCTATATCTTAAATAGGTGGTGTGCACGTGAAAGTTTTCCAACTTTGAAATTAGGAAGATTTTAAATGCCACTTGTGTAATATCTTTTTGATAAACTTCTAATAAAAATTTACACCCTACCTTTTTCTTTAATGCTTCCATCCCCCCAAAAATAAATGGTACTGAAAATATGTAGATAGACTCAGAGAGGTATTAGCACTGCGGAACACTCCAGCTCTCCCAGTCCTCTCTGATGTGGGAAGTAGCTCTTTACTCATGTAAACATCCAGGGGCCCTGGTAACACAGGTGACTCTATTTAAGGATAATTTCTCCAGGCAGTTTGTTATCTCATATCAGTAAGGGAGAAAAAAGCCCAGTGAGGAGCATGTTTTCCCCGACTTCTTTCAACATACATAGCATAGTGCATGTGAAGCACTATGGAGGAAGCTGACACCAGGGAATATATTCTGGAACTTACTGAATAAAGATTTAAACGTATTTATTTAATGATAAATGATAATAAACTTATTTAAGGTTAATTAGGTAAACTTAATAGTTCAAATTTTTCTTCTTCATATTTTAAATGCTAGGTTAAATCAGTTATTCTTCCTTGCATACACAAACATCACACACATATACACAAGCACAACCTTAACAAAATCTGAGATGACAAAAGCTGTGTTCTATGATCTGGCCCACAACTACTTAGGTTTGTTTGGGAAAAGATACAATTTTCTTAATATTAGGATTGCCAATTATGAAAGATAAATTTAGGTAGCTAAATTGTTTTTGATGGGTGAATCATAAACAGAATTGCTAGTAAACATGATTCAACATTTTACTCAATTTTTGTTTATGTGAAGAATATTGAAAACAATACAATTTTTTGTTAATTAAAGACAATTTACACACTATTTTTTCTTTCTGAATTCAGTTAATGAATAAACAAACTACTTTATGACTATGTCTATATCTAAATATCATATAAACATCTATATGAAAAGTGACAAATTCAAGCCATCACCCAGGTATTTGAAAATATTTATCTTGATGATATTAAACATTTTGGTGTTTTCAAATATCAAGATGTTTAATGTCCTGCAGATAAAATGTCCTGATGACTGGTTGAATTTTATTAATCTGTTGCATAAAAATATACATTTGCATGCATGTATTGCTTCTTATTTCACATACAACATAAAATTTTAACACAATATAGTATGAAATTATAGACAGGCATCCTTAGGTTTAGATTTTTTTTTATTGTACTTAGTGAAATTCTGGGCTAGAGAAATCACCTTTACTTCCCCTTCAGAAAATAAAAGGGCTAATTATCATTTCAGGAGTATGAATTAAATGGGGAAGGATGCGCAAAAAGAAGATATCTAGGTACTTCAGCTTCCATCTACAGTGGCCCAGAAAGACACCATGTGCATGTGTATGGTGGTATAACACAAAATAGTCTTAACAGATTGATTTAACTTGTCAAGAGACTTCATCACAATAATTAAAATGCTATAGAAAATATTTCCTCTCCCACTGTAGTTCTAAACATTTTGTTCTTCCTATAGTCCAGTTATGTCATCCAGATGAAATGACTAAGCACTTCTGATCTGCTGTAGGTCAGAATATTCATATACTTTGTCCATGTACTCCTTTTTCAATGATATTTTTGTAGATATTGATAAGCTGAATATTAAATATCAAAATTGATACAAATAATTTTTATTTTGATTGATATTAGTAATATTGTAGCCAGCTGTGTGACCTATCATTTTTTTCTTTTATTTCTGGAATGAAATCCGGACTGTGTTGAATTTGAAGGCATCCAAAAAGAATAGAGTGAAGTTTGGTAAATAATTTTCAAAAAGAGGCTAAGGTCATTCTATTTTTTTTTTTTTTTTTT